TTTTATATGTTACTTTGCCTTTTCCTTTTGCTGCTCTTAATACTCTTTCTTCATTGTGTATGTTTGGTGTTACAACTATTATGTGCTGAGGGAACTTTTTGTGGTCCACTGTATTTGGTGTTCAGTAGACTTCTTGTACTTTCATTGGCATGTTTTTCTTTAGGTTGGGAAAGTTTTCTTCTATTATTTTGTTGAATATGCTTTCTCCACCTTTGAGTTAGGTTTCTTCGCCTTCTTCTAATCCTATTATTCTTAGATTTGGCCTTATCATGATGTCCCATATTTCCTCAATATTTTGTTAGGGATTTGTTTTCTTTGGTCAATGAATCTATTTCTCCTAGTGTATCCTCAACACTTGAGATTCTCTCTTCCATCTCTTGTATTCTGTTGGTTATGCTTGCATCTGTAGTTCCTGATCATTTACTCACCATTTCTAATTCCAATACTCCTTCAGACTGTGTTTTTTATTGTTTCTAGTTCAGCTTTCAAACCTTGTACTGTTTGAATTGTTTCTTGCAATTTTTGGTTTGTCTTTTGTTCCATTTCTTTAAAGGATTTTCTCATTTCCTCTCTTAGGGTCTCTATTGTCTTCATGAAGTTGCTTTTAAGGTCATTCTCTTCTGCTTCATCTGTGTTGGAATGTTCAGGTCTTGCTGGTGTAGAATGCCTAGACACTGGCAGCATCATATTAGTTCTTCTGTTTTTGAATGTGTTCTTATATTGTCGTCTTCCTATCCCTTCTTCCAGTATGTACAGGTGGGGTCTCTTTCTCTCCTGGTGGGTTTGATTGCAAGGTTCTCTTCTGCTGGGTTCACTCAGGCCCAATACTCTGATGGGTCTCATGGTGGGCATAGGCAGGTTTGAATATCTCCTTCTCCCGGTGTGGCAGAGCTGGGTTAGATCAGTGCCATCAGCAGACTCAAGGTTGCTTGGTGAGCCAAGGGTGGTTGTTCTGTATTCAGTCCCCAGGTCAGAAGATGCCAGAGGGTGCAAGCAGATGGAAGTCGGGCCTGAGGTGGGGGCTGGAGCACACCTCTGTCTTGAATGGGGGCGGGAGTGGTCCTGCAATCTCCCACAGTTAAAAATTGTAAGCTTAAGTTTTCTTATCAGTTACAAACTTAAAATACCCATTTTCTTATAGAGAATATACATCCCCACAAAGACAGGAATAAACATATGCTAAATAGAACCCAGAGAGCAACAATATCCTTGGGAGAAGGCTAACATAGGCACGGTTTCTAGAACAGGGATGACACTGGATCCCTTGGGTCTTTACAACCTAAAATTTTAAATAAAATCAAAAGAATAATAACACAATGTTGTTAGTAATGTGTCTATAAACCAATTATTTTTGGAACACAGCCACAGTCATTTACACTACACTGGCAGAATTGAGCAATGATGAGAATGACCTATGTTTCCAAAAACCAAAAATATTTACTGTACTTCAAGGAAAAAGTTAGCCGATACTCTAAAATCTGGATTTTATAGGATCTTCTGATTACATGATTATCATTCAGGGGGTTATATAAAAGAACCTTACATGAGTTTGTGAATAAAGTTTGGCCTCATTATGTACTGGCATATATAATATTTCTGTTCAAGAAATACTGAGTTAGAAGTCTGGTGAATTTTTAAACACCACATAGAGTAACAATTATTATATGAATATAGATTTTCTCTAGGACCATGATGAATACAATTAAGGCTGTATATTTATATACAGTAACTTTGGCAGCATTTAAAAGTTTTCTTTATTTGTATACCTTTTTAAAAATGATTTATTTAGATTAGCATTAAATCAATGTCAAGAATATATAAAACCAGTAATACAAATTTGTGGAATGACTTCCTCCTTCTATTTGCTGCATGCATCACTACATTGGTGCACTGAAACAACCAATTGTTTTTAGTATAACGATCACTTTAAAAACAAATTTACAGGACAAATACAAAGACCTTGTATTTTACTCTCCTATCAGATATGTGTTTGGATTGAATTTAGACCCTGTGTTTAATTTCCTAAAGGTGTACATGTCTAAATTTGCCCTGCATCTTTGTAATAATATCCTTTAGAGAAAGAGTATATGGAAATTCTTGTTTGAAGTTAAGCTGATACAAATAGCTAGCAAATAATTTTTTATGTATCTAAGAAAGATGTTCTTGATAATTGAAATTCTTGGTTAATTTCAGAGAATTCATTTGATGGGAAATTATTTTGAAGTGTAGTTAATATTTTCCTGCCATCTTTATAAGGTTATGGTAAATGTTCTTTCCTTGTAACCTTTATATCATTATCATTACCAATTAATGTATTGTGCTGTAATGATACAGTATGCTTTAATTGTGCCCTCAGGTGATAAAAAGACAGATAAGAAGCATGTTTGCCTCCTCATCAAATGGCCATAGACTTGTGTGCTTTCTTATGCCATTTTACCTGGACTCTTGTGCTATTAATTTTCACATCTCATTGATCTTTACCAGTGATATGACCTCCACAAATAAATTTCCTTCCTTGCCGTGCGTAATTTCCTAAGGATTAGAATCTGATTGTTCAAAATTTTAGAGACCTTTCATCAAAAGGCAGTTAGTGCTCTAGTGACAGAGAGACAAGCAACAGTGGTGAGGATGTAAATATAAGAAAGTTACAATGATATATATGTATAAAAATGTAATGATAAATCCTGAGATCAGTATACAGCAACACAGTTTTTAGCTCTGTGTTTGTTCCATTATTTTCATTTTCTATTGATTAAATTTGTTTTTGACAATTTCATGCATATGTGTATATAGTGCATTGTACTTAGTCTCACCAGCCCTCAATTCTCTTATCTTCCTTTCATATCCTCCGTATAGATCCTTTTCCTATATTCACACCTTTTTTATTTGTAACCAAGAACCAATGTGTAGAAGCAGGTTTAAAAGCTGTTCTTTTGATACCTGTTAGTTCATTTTTTGGTTCCGGAGTGAAGGTAATGACTGCCCTTCCCCTAAAATCCATCAGTTGCCAATACTTCAGCGGGAAAGGTAGGGGTCCATGGCACCTCCCCCCATAGACAATTTGCTTTTGACTGACCTGTCTTGTACTGGCCAATGTAGACAACCATAACTGCTATGAGATTTTGTTTGCAATGGCTGTGTTGTGTCTTGAAGATAGCATTCCACCATCCTTTTCCCTATCTTGGGACTCTTACTATATTTCATCTTCTTCTGAATGTTCCCTGTACTTTTGAGAAGGTGTTACAAATGTCTTGTTAAGACTGACTATTCAACTGTCAATACTCTAAATAACTTGGGCAGCCATGACTCTGTATGCACCACTGCTCATTGCAAAATAAGCTTCCATAATTAAAGATGTGTGGGAGTGGCATTTGTCTAAATCAAGAATGTAGAGTACAGTTTGGTGTTTTATCAGTTTAACTAAATGATAGTAAGCTGACTCATAGGGCCAATAACCTTCTTAACCCATGGGTTTTTGACAAGGTGTATAGTCCCAAACAAAAATATTTAAAAGGCAGGTCTCTATCAGTTTTAGAAGCCTTTGAGAAGTAAAATTTATGCATGAATTAATGATAATCTTTAGCTGAGAGCATTTTCTTACTATTTTTTAATTAATTGTAGTTTTCTAGAGTAATCGGCACAGAACTCAAACCTCTTGTGAAACAGGTACAATAAATACACTGAAAACTTCACTTTCAGATAAAGTGCATCACAGTCATGTGGTTCTTTGCTTTTTTAAAAGACAAATTATTCTGTGTTCTTTTTTTCTTTTATGTAGAATAAGATTCACCCTAATAAATACATTGCTCAAAGCAATGACCCTGATAAAGCCAATTTTGTATTTGCTTTCTTTGCAGTGCTGGTGATGGAAACCAGGACCTTGCTTGAATTAGCTGCCTCTGGTTTTTATCTGTAGTCCTTGCCATTTGTCTATTGAGTCCCCACTACTATGTATGGTCCGATATATTTGTTACTTTTCTATTGCTATGACAAAATACCTTAACCAAGGCAACGTAAAGAAGGAAAAGTCTATTGGACTTATGGTTCCAGAGGAATAAAAATCCATCGCCATCATGGCAACGGAGTATGGTAGCAAGCAGGTATTAGTGATGAGAGAACTCTTACCTTCAACCTTAAGGAGTGAACTAGTAATAGCACATGGATTTGAAATCTCAAAGTCTACTCCCCGTGACATACTTCCTCCAGCAGGCCACACACCTCCTAAACCTACCTAAGCAGCACCACCAACTAAGGACAAAGTACTCAAGTGCCAGAGACCATAGGGAACATTCTCTTTCAAACCACTCCTGAGCATTACTGTAACGCTTTTGTCTGCCGAATTTGTTAAGATCTGCATAGGTGTGTCATACTCCCAGCAAGACTCATAAGTGTAAGTCTAGATTTCTCAAAACAGTGAATGAATTTTGTGAATGATGATTTTTAAATAAAATATAAATCCTTTAAATAATATAGTCTACTAACATATTTCAAATTATCTTCTGTTCCTCAACAGGCTTGTAATAAAGTTTATGAACACCTTTGTTGAACTAAGTTAAAATTTTTACATTCAAAAAGTGCTTTTTAACCAAGGGAGAAACGATGTATTTATTAATTACAATAATTTTCACACTTTTATAAAAACCATGGTCATGTGTTAGGTTGAACCATGTACCCTTGACTTTCTTAGAGGCGTCATTGCTAAGTGATATATTATACCCTAGAATTTTACACATATGGATAATTTTTTCTCACATGAGACACAGATCCAAATAGCTATGATCCTTACTTTTATTTAGTTAAATGTGACATTTTTTTAACTTGTGGCAGCAGCTTTGGTTAATGGGAAAAAACAGTCACACACAGAAGTTTAACTTATATAATTGTTAACAGTGATTTCTTGTTTGCAAACATTAGTAACTTTATATCCTCAGCAGTAACAGATAACTCCCTCATCCCCATATCATTCTAGTAATGTCTATATTGTATGTTTTCCCTTATAGGAATCTCAGCACCTGACTCCAGGATTCACCTTACAAAGTAAGGAGTTTTAGTTTTTGTTTTCTTAATTCATTCTTATGTCAGCCATCCATATTCTCGCTTCCATTACTTTTCTCTCTTTTCTGCTTAATGTCATTAAAACATGAAAGAACAATGGTAACAAAAGGTTACTAGGTGATTAATCATTCTAGTTCCTATTTTTCATCTATTATTATGACAGAAAGCTGTGAAATTATCTGAGAGGGCTGCATGTTCACAAAGTAATTAAATTCTGAATGCTCATTTACAATAGAAGCATGAACAGTAATTGTTTGTGTCCTTTCTATTCAGAGTGGAGTGACCCAACCAGCAGAGCTTCTACAAAGTCAGTACCACTGAAGTCGTGAGTAGTTGTCCTCCTAAAGCAGACCTCTTTGGGGTATTTTGGCACAGAAACAGCACCACAGTGCTGAGCTACTTCTCCCTTGTAGAGACCTTAATTTCCAGTTTCAAGTTAGTGGGGTTAATCAAATTCTCATTACCTTAGTACATTTCAACTGCTGTAACATATATACCATAAGTTGGGAAGTTTATCAGTAAGAGACCTGGATTTCTAATCCTTCTAGATTCTAGGAAGTCATAGGTAAAGTCACCAGTAGAAATGGTATCTGTTGAAATAGCTGTATTTTTGTTGTAATCTCAAACCGTAGAAGTGGCAAGAGGTCTGTCTGAAGTGGATCTTGTAAAGACACAAATTTTATTCATGAAGGCTCTTCTTTATGAAACAATTCTATCTCCAAAGTCCCACCTCCTTATGGTGTCATTTCCTGAGGAAGTATAGCATATATATATGCATATATATATATATATATATATATATATATATATATATATACAGAGAGAGACTAGATACAACCATTTAAAGTTCCTGTGATCAGCAAGAAGAGTAAAACTGAAATTACTTAGTAATTGGCTCTCTAAGGTGTAGACACAATCAAGATCAATAACTGAAAACAACTGTGACTTCAGTGAAAAAAATATAGATATTGGCTTCCCACATTTTGATGAAGTATTTAGCTTCATGTAACTTTAGCTACAACAGCTAGCTCCAGCTACTAAGAAAGGCAAACAAAGAATGTCAAAGATAATGTGACTGGATAAAGCCAGTTAGCCCAAGACTCCATTGTTTACAGATTATCTGTCATCTGTATATTACAACCAAACAAGAACAGTCAGAAAGAGATATTATGGTAGCAGATCCAAGTTTGAAAGTCAGAGCCCTGCAATTCACTCTGCACTGTCTTCAGTTTTTACTAATGTTAACCAGAGGAGGAGTTTATAGAAGACAAATTTCATGAGATTAACTCTTGCAGATTTTGAAAAATATACACTTTTCCAAGAGTATATCAACAGAGTATTTTCATAACTTCTTTCCTTCCTAATTATAGAAAATGGAAATAATAATATGTACTTGAAATTTTTGAAAATGAAATAATTATGACACACAAGTGGTCTAATGACACACTTGAAATGAATTGCTTACCTTTTGGAAGATCATGAATAATTGCATAATACAACTGAGAATGACTTCAAATAGACTGAGACACTGACATAGTCAAAGATACTTCCATTCCATATTCTTGTTTCAGTGTAGTAATGAAATCTCAAGGCCCTGTCCTGATCATTACTCCTTTTTTCTGTTGTTTGATTTGCTTTTGGAACTGACCTGCACCTTGTAATTAAAAGCTCAACTTTAACAACCAAGAGTCTTTTATTTTAAAGGACAAGACAAACAAGGAACAGGAATAATAAAACGATGTTTTTGATGTTATGGGCACGTTAATGGAATTGCAAAAATCAAAATAATCTCTGATATTATACATTTCATCATTTGCAGTAATCACATGAACTGCTCTTTTTGTTCTTAATGAACCATAGATCTTATTTCCAAATTGATACTCCCACTTAACCATTTTTCTTCTAAAACTAACAAGACACATAAGAACACATTTGGGAAGTCAATGCAGGTCTATAAACAAGGAAAATTATAAAATTGTATTTTAATGGCAAAGTTATGTTACTCCCAAAGCATGTACGTTGGAATTTCCTTGTAAAATATGCTACATACCAAATATCCCATATAATGAAATATTTCAATAATCTAATCCTAACACTATGCCATATATTGAAATATTTCAATAGCCTAAACCAAACACAAGGAAATTCATCTATGGCTACTTAAAATTGGAGGCTGCATTTCAGAGAACATCATTTTACAGCATAGGATATAGTAGTACAGATGGTAAGATTAAAATCCTCTGCAAAAGAGTCAGCAAGACTTGAGGGTACTAAGTCCATTTTATGAATGAGCCTCTCCCAAATATTGTCTGTCAGACTGTAATTGGAATACTTCCCTTCTTTTGGAAAGGAAGGTCATAGTTGTAATTGTTTTTATTTTAGCTTTCAAATGCTTATAAGTTCAGCCATTATTATTATTTTCCCATATTTTGTTTTGGTATATTTTTATGCCAACTTCTAGGATTTTCCAATTGGCATGGTAATCCTGAAGGTGATTAAGAATATTCTGAGTGTAGATCAACTGCCAATATTTGGAACTTGCTAACAAGTAATTCCCAAGACAACCAGGATATGAGAAACACATACTCAAGACCAGCAAATGTCTAAGATATATGACCTACTACTTACTACAGAGGAGAGAGATTAGAGCCTTGGAAAACAGACTCATAATTGGTGAGATCATTTTGTTCAACTTGGTTTGCTTTCCCTGTTTGACAACATACAGATCTTCCATTCAAGTGTGGATTGTTTATAAGAACTGCATACATAGGTACCAAGCCTGTGGTCACATACCTCAGTGGGTCTGAGTTTAGGTTTGCAATTACCCAGCCTCCATATTCTTAGCATTTGCTGCTCTTTCCATGAGCAAGTCCCAGCACTTAATTGGCCTCCTAGAGAAATAGATATTTCCCACTCATTTGCTCTAATTTATTGACATATAGCTCTTCTACTGGCTCCGGTTGAGATAAGGAAATCTGACTGTGTGAATTTAGAAGCCTCTGCTCTACAACAATCATAGTATTTAGGGGGACATATTGAATGTAGAATATGCAAGTTTAAGTCACAGGGTAATTTATCTTTATTTTAAAGAATACAAGTTTCCTTAAAGGAAATTAAGCAACATAATGAGAAAATGTGTATACACATGTGAGTATCCCTACAAAATCTTGTTATACTCCAAATATAAGCATTCTCTTTAGTAATTAAACTATATAAAAGTATGTTTAAATTTGATTCTTAATACTTTCTAGAGGATTGAAGTCCTAGCAGACAGCCACCCCCACTGCCATTCATCAGCCTCTCAGAGTCTGAGTTATATTATAGTCTTTAAAATGCCCTTATTCAAACCTCCTAAATACAATAGTTTCTAATCTCCTCCATAAATGGCTTGTGTTCCTCAAATAGGGAAAAACATGTTAGGTCAAAGTATTTTTCTCAGTGTTGTATATTTGTACACAAACATCATAGCCATTCTGTATATATCACTTACTTGATTCAGGCTCTCAGTGGATGCACCAGATAACATGTTACTTTGTAGATTTTTAATGAACACATTAAGGGCCAATAGAAAAAAATAAACTTGGCTATTTTTATGTGGCTTCATCAAACTGATCATACTATAATCATCAAGTACTCACCACTACAACATATTTACTTTCCTCTTAATGTTTGAGGTTGGTGTGGCATTTAAAAACAACAATAACAGATGAAATGATGGGGAAGTCCTGTGTATATGTCAATAAAGCACTATTGGCCAATAGGGAAGCAAGATAGGTGGGACTAGGAGACTAGGATTCTGGGAAAGAGAGACACAGGCAGCCACGATGTAGCTGCCATAGGGATAAGAGGTCCGGACCCCTTTCTCCAGTAAGAGAAATACTTAGATGAACAATTAGGGGGTAAATACTTGAGTAGAGATAGCCAATAAGAAACCAAGCAAATGGCCAACAGCTTCATAATTAATATAGCCTCCTGTGTGTTCATTTGGAACTGATATGGCTCTGGAACCAGGCTAGAAGGAAGGCTGCACTCTACAATGAAATGTATTCATTTGCTCTGAGAAGAATTCTAGATAGCTTCCATGAACCCATAAGTGTCCATTCAGTTAGCCTTTGAACTCAGTTGTTTTGTGAGCACTGTTGAGAAGATAACAACTCCAGATATTACGTTCCCTTGTTAAACTTGGTTATTAGCATTTGGACTCTGTTCAATTGGAAGTCATCCAGAACCCCTCTTATCCAAGCAACTCTGTGTTTTAAGGCATGCTATTGAGAATGTCTGGATAGTTTCCATACAAGCCCCAATATAAAGTCAGATGGAATCATGATGCCATTTTTTCTCTGCCATAAAGCCAGTACCTCTACTTATAGTGTTGACTATGTGTTTGAAAACAAACATGAATCCAGATAATTGATGACAGGCCATTTGAAGTCAGATTTACTGTGTCAAGCCACAGTTTCCATATGTGTAGTTCTTATGTTTATTGCATGAACAACTGTATGCATGGAATTCTAGGTAGTAGGACAGTAAGCTATGCTATCATATGAAGGGCAGAAACCTCAAATAATGACCAGTGTACTTTTGAGCACACTTGTGCTGATGTTCTTATCAGTCATCCTGAAGCTATAATGCAGTGTCTTACCCTAAGCTTATGCAGTCCAATTGGAAGATGAATTACCCATGCATCCTTATTTCAGAGGCATTTTGGGGCTACAAAGGGCTATTCAAGAAACACCGTTCTTCAGTTAATATAATTTTAATGTAGGCTAAGAGGTTTTGGGTATTTAAACCTTCCCTACTTCCTACAAGGAGGCCCTTTTACATGTTCTCCAGTGAGTTCAGGAATTAGATACTGAAAATATGGCCTTTTTTGTCTAGACTTGTTCGTACATTCCCATAATCCCAGCACTTGGGGTGTGAAAACAAGAGGATCATTTGTTTGAGGTTTGAGGCCAGCCTGGTTCAAATGAGACTTTGTAAAAAAGAAAAAAATAAAGAAATAAAGGAAAGGAAGAGGTTGGGAGAGAGAGAGAGAGAGAGAGAGAGAGAGAGAGAGAGAGAGAGAGAGACGGAGGGAGGGAGGGAGAGAGAGAGAGCATTAGTTTTTTATCCTGATACAAACCTTTAAGGAGAGTTGTAAAGCTGGTTGGTTGGGATGGGCCCCACAAGAAATTATACGTCTCTGCTTTGTAAGATACAAAACTGGATAAAATTGCTTTATTTAACTCAACTATCATCATCTCTAAACTTTCCCTCTAAATGTTAGGAAGATTTCATTACCATAGAGAATAGCAAGTTTATGAGAAT